TGCGACAACGAGGTCAACCCACTTCTATAATTCGGTTATTCTTTATAAGCTTAATGTAGGCTGGGACCTTTAGATTGGGACACACGATCTCTTCATGCGTATCAGAAATTCATTTACTTTTCTCCGGTTAATCTTGTAAAGACCTCATCTGAGAGTGAAGTTGCCTGGCAGCGAGCAATGGCATTCTGTAGACTTTTTGCCGATTATATAAGCTAATCTATCTTCGCTGCAGTTACCAGCAATATTAGACATAAGGTCTGTTTGAAGGAACCCTAAAGCACAAAAAGCCATCTATCATGCGATAATTATCACCAGACAACCTATTATAAACTGAATATAAGGCCTGCATTCATCTGTGTCATCTATCCCATTGGACTTTTCTCACTATCATCACCATCTTCAGTGAGATTCGAATGTTGGAAATATGAATTCGGAGGCAAGCATGTGAATCCTCAGCGCTGTCTACTACCTGCTGAGCTACGTGATACAGTGAACTTCTCCAACTCTCAGTTCATTCCAAAATATCTCGTATCTCGTATCTTCTTGAGAACGTTGATCGAATGAGTTGGATTTGGGATGTGATTTGGCTGTGAGACTGTAGTGATCTAAACCCCACTTTTCCCATTCAATATTTAGTTTTGTCATATCCCATACGTAGCCATGGCTCAACACCCTTGGGCGTAGAGATCACGTGAGTGTATGACTAATCTTCACTTCATTTCGCATCGACCAATCAAAACATGGCATTGCTTCGCCCAATCAAAGCTTGGCACGACATCGTCCAATCAGAAGTTGACATGGAAAACTACGCAAGCTGTTTACGTTGGCCTTGTCTTCTTCCTTTTCCTCTTACCCTTCGATGTCATCCGGGTAACTCAGACTATTCCGTTTCTCGCCGCTTTTCAATGGTTTTCTTTCAATTCTCAGCCCCCTTGCTGAATTCAGCCGTTTCTAAATAGGACGCTTTCTCTCTTCGTTTCGGGGCCTCCAACTTTGGAGTTGTAGAGCGCAAGCGTTTTGTATTTAAGATATGATCCGCGTCCTCGTCTGAACACTAAAAGAACTATCAGTGGTTCTTAATAGATTAATCATTATATACCTCTTAAGGTGAATTAAGGACTAATAGAAGTGGCTTGACCTCGGTTTCACAACCTGGTCGTGTTGTCAGAGCGACCTAGATAGTAGTACCTCTGAATTCCTCTGCCATAATAGGCATAAGTGCCAGCTTTGGACTGTGGAATTGGTACATTCTCAGGCGTTTCACCGTGATCATAGTCGGCATCTTGAATAAGGCCTGCCAGTCTTGGCACCAAGCTGTGACTCTTGAATTTGAATAGACTTCGAAAACGAGGTCAAGCCACTTCTATACTTCGAAAGGACGTTGGGGTCAAAGCAGAGGCCACAACTTCTTAGTCTTCATATCTATCATTAAAGTAAGGTCTAAAAGTCGAACTCTGCCACGGTGATCTAAGTAGACCTCATGGTTACATTAATTTTCATATAGTTTTGCCTTCCATATATCTATATCCAAATATGAGTGAAAAATGCACAACACAAAGAAGTCTATTGAGGAATGGATAGGCAGCACAACTATTTGTATCCTCTATCTTCTATGCAGCAATTATGTCTCGATTTGCTTGTCAGCCTTTGCTTTTCTCCTTTTATTCATTTACATTCTCATTTATTTTAGTTGTCCTACGCGCATTGGAATTGAGTCCTCTGATATGTGAACTACATTCTTTAGTGAAATGGGTTGACCTCGCTTTCGCAAATAGGTCTTGTTGTCGAGACGACTTAGTTGAAATCAGCTTGTTCGAAGCCCTCCAACATAGTAGTTATCCTAATTCCCAGCATCAGACCGTGAACTTGGTACATTCATATACGTTTGCCCGGCATCCTAGTCAGCATCACCAGTAAGTGCTGTCAATCTCCGCACCAATCTACAAACTTGCCAAAGAAACAAGCGAAGTTAATCCCTCGACCAACATTCTGCCGAAAACGGTTACATTACCACTAACCCATCTATCAACTCTTTACCCTCTTGGACTTTTGTGTGTTGAACTGTGCGAAGAAAACCTAGGCTCATTGTCCTACGGCCCCAATGACTCCGTGCTGAGCTTTCGTCCGTCATGTGACTGGCATCGTCAGAGCCAGAAATCATTATTTACGAACAAATCAGCAAAAAACACTAAACCGAGAAAGGTTGGCTAGCTGAGATCCTACATATTTGTTATACCTCACTTTGCAATCTTAATGAGGCATTTTGTGATTTGGTTGGCTGATGTATACTTGTCCTACATTCATGTAAGTGGGTCAAAGTGGGTTGAGACCAATCTACGAATCTCTCCGACCCGCCTTCTCAAATGAAATGAAATATGCGCTAGTGGGCACCTACCCCTGGTCGCATGCGGCATCTTAAATGGATTTTTAGTACATTTTGGCCATAAAGCTGAATTTCCGTGACGGTTTGCTTATCCATCTACCCAGCTCCCTGACTGCTAGACCCCCAAAGTTGTATTGGTTTATTCGAAATGGACATCGCTTTATTGCTGAAAACCCCTGCCCCCCACTTTCTTCATCGCGATCCCTTTTCTTCCGGTTAGCGATAGATCCTTGATTCAGGCGTCTCCTTTTTGCTGGTCTTGCTCCATTATTGTTTTTCCCGAGTTTGCTTAGGCAGTAGGCAAAGTTATCGCTAACTCTACCTTCCGACAAATCTTCTGTTCATTAGAATTTTCTCCCCAAGAATGTTACTGGCCTCCA